GCTCCGGAGAGGGTTTTCTTTCCTCTTTTCCTGTTTCCTTGCAATATCAAAAGCGCAGATGATGTAGCGCTGACGTGGTCGCTGGCTCAGGTAACCCGCGAGTGCACGGAGACCGCGCGGCAAACTTGCCCGAACGCCAGAGCCGGGCGAGCTGCCCCGGATTCCCCGCAGCCCACCCCCACCCCCACCCTGCACCCGGTCTGGAGCGAGGGAGCGGATCTCACGGGACTAGGGGAGGGTGGGAGGGAGGGAGCGGTGAGGGAGTGGCTTTTGGACCCGGCACTGAAGGTCCAAACCCCCGTCCCAGCGACACCTGTTTCCCCGTTTCTTTAATCAAAGCCACTCTTCTAAAATCGCCAGCGCAGGAAGGCTTTTCTCCTCCATCTGTCTTCTTGGCTTGGGACTGGAGCAATCTGGTGCCTATGGTAATGATTCCAAACTCAGGGTTGGAAGGCACCTTGGATCCTCGAAGTCTCTTCTCATCCATTCACAAACAGGATCTGAGAGTAAAGGAGAGTTTGAAAGAGCCACTTTTCCAAACAACTCTTTAAAACATGAAGAGAGGATAGAAGTCCCAGTATGCCAACTGCCTGAAGAAACTAAGCGTTTCCAGGTGTTGCTTCTTTTTAAGGTTGAAGAGTGTCAGTGAGCGGCCTTATTTTAGGTGAGATTAAAAATGGATGCCCCCTTTTGGAAAAGCAACTTGATGTTTCAACAACCTTGGAAAAATGTATTTATTCTGATACCATGATGTATCCTAGAAAAAAAAAAAAAGAGGCAAAGATGATGTAGGCAAGATGGCTCACTAACTATCTATGTATATGTGACTATCTTGTTATATAGGTGAAGTATAGTGTATAGGGATGTGTATACGTGACAGTGAAGGCTCAGAATATGCTAAATGTTACAAAATAGGAGGATGGTTAAATAAATGGTAGTCTGTACAGTATGGATACCATATAGCCAACTATTAAAGATGTATTTGGAGACTTGAAACATGAAAATTTGATGTATGGAATACAGGTGACCTTAGGTAAAGAATCTCAAATATGGGGCCCTCCAGGTGGCCTAGGGGTTACATCTCAGCGCTATCATCATGATGGTCCACTTCTGGAACCTGAGTTCCATCGCAGCCCAGGGAGCTGACCCACATGGCACAGCAGACCTCTCCTGTCCTGCCTGCTGCTCCCCTCAGCAGTGTATTTCAGTAGATCCACCTTTTCTGCTGCCCACTTTGTCACTGATGAATCCTCTTGAACCCCTGCACCTCTGGCCTACATCTCAGTTCTTTCATGCATAAATAAATAAATCTTATTTAAAAACTGCTTAAAATATTTGTAGTTTGATTTGTAAAATAGATCTTGAATTGCATCATATATTGATGGCATGGAAATAAAACTATCAGTTGTCTTTGGGTGAGATTGCAGTACATAGGTAATTTATTTCTTGTACGTTTTTCTATATTTCTGATTGTTCACAGTGAACATTTATTATTTTGTAATCAGAAAAGTGTATGGAAAATCTGAATTGTGCAATCAGATAATTCAATTGCTAGATGCCTATATGCCTACTTTAGTGGCTTCTAAAGAACTAGTATTTTGTGCTTATTTAGAAGTTTCCATGGAAATACCTAATTACCTGTGGTTAACTCTTCACTTTCAGTAACATTACCTCTTATTTTACTCAGAGGATTCAACCCAGCTTACCATTACTTCTTTGTCTTCCAAAATTTGTTTTTTTTTTTTTAATCAACACTACCTTTAAACTCATGCTTGCTTTCTTTAAATTCCAAAATCTCTCAATCGGCAACCCTTTTCCTTTCATTCTACATTGTAGAAAATAAGAATGTCCTCATTTTTCAGGTGAAGTACCCCTCCACTTTCAGTACTTCTTTCTCCTGGAATCTTCACCCTGTTATTTAGGCCCCTACTCTTTTGGAACTTGAATTGCTCTCTCTCTCCTCACTCCTTTCTCTTAAACTAAAAAATCAAGTCAAGTCTCCATTGTTCTATAACATCCTTCTCTGCAAGGAGCGTTGTAATCCTCACTCCGCCATGCCCATCCTCAATCTTTAATTGTTTGATATGACATGTTGGGGGGGGTATTTATTCCTGAGGTCACCTCCTCCAGCATACCCTCAATTTTCTCCTTCTGCCTTTCACAGTGCCTGTTCTTCCATGTTATTCTTTCCATGATCCTCTTTCCTCAGTGTCTCTGCTCATGCGCTCTTTGCTCCAGCTCCCCCATGATGCAATACCTGTTGCTCAGGCCCTGGCTTTCGAAATCACGCCCCGTTACAGCACTCTGAGACCCTAAGGAGATGTGATTTTTTTTTTTCCTCTGGTGAAACGATATAGCACTCTGAATACCACAGTGTGTGGGTTACATCTGTGTGCACCGTTAAGGTTTCATTACCATACATGGAAATACAATACATGGCAACCCTAAAACATGGTTACAAATTGTTTGACCCCCTCCTTAGCCAAAGGGAGGGTTACTGTGCTGTGTTGGGACTCTTAACGAACAGAGTGCATAACAGATATCACTAAGTAATTCCAAAACCTACAACTACAGGTAGAAGTGGAAAACAGTGTATGAGTGGCCTGAAGGGACCTGGTGCTACCCTGCAGTGTGAGATCTGCTGATTAGAGGATAATGGCGATAGTATAGTTCGGGCCCTCAAAGTTGACCGTCTCCTCTCCTCTTCCTGGCCAGTTGATCTGGACAGGTGCACCTGTCCTCGGGGACACTAGCAATCTCAACATTAGGATTTTTTGCTTCCTCTAAAACCTTTCCCCCATATGCTTTCCTTGTACCATGCTGCCAACTAGCTCCTTCCCTTCTTGGCTCCTCCAGGCACCATACCAGCTGGGCAGACAGCCCTGCTTCCCCACCCTACATAGCACGCACAGGCCATCCCAACCATTTCTCAGGGGGAAAAAAAAGGAATATGGAGTAAATGAAGAAGAGATTCTTAAAAAAGGGCAAAGGTGGGTGGCAGTAGGGTGACGTAGGTGGAGTGTATGTTAGACCAGGCAGGGGTTGCTTTTAGTATCAGTGTTTCCACTAAAGGACATAATTTGGGGACAGGTGACAAGGTTTTATGAGAACTAAACCTTGGCATAGAGCCTTACAAGCTCATCTGACATAGAGCTAATGAAATACATGGGCACTATTGTGCTGTATGATAATTAGGCACACATAGAAAGCAGTTCATTTAAGTGGTTTAATTATTTCAACAGGTTGAGATGATGAGAACAATTTGTAAGATGGTAGTTTCATGAGAAAGTCTTTCATTTGGGATCAAAAGGTAAACTTCATAAACATGTTTGGGGAAACCCATTCTATCAGCAGCAAGTAAAAATATTGGCATTTCTAATTCCCCTCCTGGGTTTATACCTGAGAGAACTGAAAGATATTTGAAGAGGTAATTGCACAACCATCATGATTCACATAGAGCAATGGGAGCAACCCAACTGTCCATCCACAGATAACAGGATAAGCAAAAGGTAGCCTATATTTGCAGTGGAATATTTTTTTTTATAACAGTTTATTTTTACATCATTTTGTACATTTTTTTCCCCATCTCAATTGCAATCCCCACGGGTTTCCCATCACCAAGTCACCCATGTGCCACCACCAAAATCCCGTGCACTTCCCTCCCCCTCCCCCCCGTTTTTGATCCCATTCCCCACTCCACCCCCGCAAAATGTCTCTGGTATATGGTTGTTCATTATTTTTGTTATTTTCTCGCCTGGTCCATTATACTCCTGCTATGAGTGAAACCATCCGGTATTTTTCTTTCTCTTTCTGGCTTATCTCACTAAGCATGATCTTTTCCAGCTCCATCAAAGTTGCTGCAAAAGACATGTGTTTCTCTTTTTTTGGTTGCTGAGTAATATTCCATTGAATATGTGTACCACATCTTTTTAATCCAGTCATCTACTTTTGGGCTCAATGGAATATTTTTAACCTATTAAAAGATGAGGTTTATTAGGAAAATAAGAGAGAAAAAGAGAGATAGGTAAGCAGGTGAGGGGCTGCAATGGAATATTTTTCAGCCTTAAAAAAGAATTCTGACATGCTACAACTTTGAGGATGCTATGTTCAATGAAATAAGACAGTCATCATAGAACAGATACTGCATGAGTCCACTCACAAGGGTTCTCTAGAGGAGTCCAATTCATGGAGACAAAAGGTAGAAGCAATTGTGGTTGCTGGGGCTGGGTGCAGAGGGGACAGGAATTAGTGTTCAATGGATACATTTTGCAAGATAAAAAGGGCCTACAGGTGGCTGGTGGTGGTGGTTAGGCAACAACAAAGATGTTCATAATGGCCCTGAACAGTACATTTAAAAATGGCGAAGGCAGTACATTTTATATTGCATGTATTTGGATTGACAGTGGGACACAGGCATTAAGAGTGGGATGAAAGTGTCCCACCAGTCAACGGGCTCCAGACTATATGGTGATGTGAGGCCCTGAAGTAGAATCTTCCATTTGCAGGGAGTGTTGGGAGGTGCAGGTGCAGCCGAGAGCACGTCACCTCAGAGAACTGGTGCACACCAGGTAGTGTGTCCTGAACAGCGATGGGTCTGGAAACACAGTTGGAAGACATGTCAGGAGTACTCCAAATGCTTACTCCAAGGAAAGAAGCCTTAAGATGATCTGCACCGGAGGGAAAAAATTATCAATTTATTCTATATGTCTTCAGAAAACTGAGCTAAGTCTAATGGATGGCAGATACATACAAT